ACGACCTGTCAGCTCTCACTTCTGTGACCATGGTCACCCTTCACCTCTGTGGCCACGACCAGTCATCCCCTCACCTCTGTGACCGTGACTGTGGTCAGCCCTCACTTCTGTGACCACGACCTGTCAGCTCTCACTTCTGTGACCATGGTCACCCTTCACCTCTGTGGCCACGACCAGTCAGCCCTCACCTCTGTGACTGTGACTGTAGTCAGCCCTCACTTCTGTGACCATGACCTGTCAGCCCTCACTTCTGTGACCATGGCCACCTTTCACCGCTGAGGCCATGACCAGTCAGCCCTCACCTCTGTGACCATGACTGTGGTCAGCCCTCACTTCTGTGACCATGGTCACCCTTCACCTCTGTGGCCATGACCAGTCAGCCCTCATTTCTGTGACCATGACCGTGGTCAGCCCCTCACCTCTCTGCCAACACTGGTGTTGGGTGGCTGCAGCTCCTCTGCCTCGGCCTCTTCAGGGTGGGGACCGATCTTCTCACAGGTGCTCTCTGAGCCCTCAGGCCTGGCCAGACTGTCCTCAGAGTGAGGGGACCCACCAGCTGCCTCATAGTCCAGGCACTCCTGGTCCAGCGGCACTTGGAACCTCCTACCAGGAGCTCTTCGCTTCCTGTACTTCTCAGAAAGGAGTGAGGTGGGATGCACTGTCTTCTCGGTTGGCCCGCTAGACTTGGGTGAAGTTGTGACCGAGACGTCGAGGTCTGTGGAGCCTGAACACAGGAAAGAAGAATGTCCATGCTTCAGTGTGTACTGTCTGTGAGAGAAGTGAGAGCGCACAGTGTGTGTGAGTGTGCACGTGTGAGTGTGCACGTGTGAGTGCACTCTGAGTGTGCGATGGGTGTGCAATGCGTGGAAGCAGCATGACTGGGCACTGTGTGTGCAGGGGCGGTGTGCGCTGGGTCTGAGTGAGTGCAGTGATAGTGCAGCATGACTACGCACTGCGTGAGTGTGCACTGTATGTGTGTGTACTGTGTCACAGCAGCACGAGTGTGCACCAGGTGTGAATGCATGCTGTGCATGAGTGAGTGTGCACCGTGGGGGTGTGTACTGTGTGAGCGAAGGATGAGTGTGCACTGAGTACAGTGTGAGTGTGCATCATGTGTAAGTGTGCACTGAGAGCCGTGTGAATGTGGACCTGTGTGAGTGCAACAAGAGTGCACTGTGTGTGAGCCCAGCATGCACCGTGTGTGTGTGTGTGTGTGCACCATCACAGCTGCGTGAGTGTGCACTGTGTGAGCCCAGCATGCACCGTGTGTGTGTGTGTGTACACCGTCACAGCTGCGTGAGTGTGCACTGTGTGAGCCCAGCATGCACCATGTGTGTGTGTGTGTACACCGTCACAGCTGCGTGAGTGTGCACTGTGTGAGCCCAGCATGCACCGTGTGTGTGTGTGTGTGCACCGTCACAGCTGTGTGAGTGTGCACTGTGTGAGCCCAGCATGCACCGTGTGTGTGTGTGCACCATCACAGCTGCGTGAGTGTGCACTGAGCCCAGCATGCACCGTGTGTGTGTCTGTGTGTGCACCGTCACAGCTGCGTGAGTGTGCACTGTGTGAGCCCAGCATGCACCGTGTGTGTGTGTACCGTCACAGCTGCGTGAGTGTGCACTGTGAGCCCAGCATGCACCGTGTGTGTGTGTGTGCGCACTGTCACAGCTGTGTGAGTGTGCACTGTGAGCCCAGCATGCACCGTGTCTGTGTGTGTGTGTACACCATCACAGCTGTGTGAGTGTGCACTGTGAGCC